TTGATGCTTTTTCCTGTTTTGTACTTTGTGTTATTTTGAACTATCGATTTGAAAACTATTTGGTATATTTTGATCCATTGTAATCCTTTTCTTTTTATTCAAATGCTACTTCTTGGACCAGTGAGAACTTCAAGTTGACATCTATGTCATTTGATACAGACTTCATGGTCTGTCACAGTTTTCTTGGTTTCTGATATGCACAGAATCCAGACCCATCTTATCCATTTCCAATCCTGAGAAGGGATATTCATTTCACCAAGGTGCCCTGGTTTTGTCCAAAGACAACTGTTACTCAGAACCAATGTTTGGGGAAATTGGGATATATCTTATGATCATGTTCCTCTTTCAGCTTAGGCCTCTTTAGTGGACAGATGTAAGAAGTGCTTATTTCAAAGAGAAAAAAAATACAAGGTGAGTTCTCATTCATATTTTCAAGTCAACTATAGGACTAGGGAGTTTTTACTCAGATTATCTGACTTAGTATCTGTACATTCTCTTTCACTAAAAACATCTTGTTAATAATACATTAGTGAACTGAGTAACTAAATTGGAAGGTGAGGCTATAAAAGGCCCTTCTTTTCACAGACCACTTTGGAGCTTGACTGATGTAAAGAACTGAGGGGACCGACACTGAATAAGAACTTTAAGTGATAGAATCCCACAAGTTTAGGTTAGTATAAGATTTGTTTATGAGATTTTGGTACAAAGATGTTCTTACATAGGTATAATTCTAAAAATTCACAGATTGCTTCAAAATGAATGGCCACAAATCTAATGAATGGAGTGGAGGAGACACTTATTTAGTTATTAGGAGATTTTTTAAAAATTATTTATATATTTTATTAATATTAGGAGATATTTTGTCATTTATATACTTTATTATTTATATATTTGGAAAATTTCAAGAGGTATATTTATTTTAGAAAATTCCCCTCAAAAACATGCTTCAATCTGTTAGAAAGGATGGCTACTTACTTAGGAAAAGTAAAAAGCTTTATTTTCTGATCCAGGGCTAGGTTTTAAAAATGTGTTGTGGAGTTGGGGGTATATGGTCTCAATGTGTGTGTATGTGTGTGTGTGTGTGAGAGAGAGAGAGAGAGAGAGAGAGAAGAGAGAAGGGGGAAGAGAAAGAGAAAGAGAAAAAAGAGAGAGAGAGACAGAGACAGAGACAGACAGAGAGAGATGGGTAAAAGTAGAGTGGGATAAATCTTTAGAAAAATGTCTCTAGTTCCTCTGCTTAGAACCAATATAATTGAGAAGGCATGAATATGAAGAGACCTGGTTGTAAGTGGAGCTTAATAACTGCACAAGGTCAGATTATTCCTCTCTCATATGGACAGAGGGACAAATTTCACACTCATTTCTGAGCTCTATTTTCATATTATATATTCATTAGTAATCTCAAAAAAAAGGAAAACATGTAATATCCTGACTTTGGGTTTTCTTTTTATGATACTGGCTTCCCTAGCTTTAAGAATTATTAAAAAAGATGTTGCATTATCAATTAATGCTATATGTTATACTAATGTGTATGCTTGTATGCAAAGTAACTATATAAATCAGCACATGGGGTTTTAATGCTTCCTCTTATTTGGGGCAATTTCTTGGGAAATACAATATTTGGAAAGATACACTTGAAATTCTTCTAACTGATTCGGGGTTATATGTACATAATTTTGTGGAAGTGCTTTCTGTGAAGTGCTGGATTTGGGGGGTGAGTATTATATATTGACATACAAGGACTATTGCTTACATTGCCTCTAAAGAGTCATTTGTGGTGGAGGGGGCTTATTGTGACACACTGTGGTAGGTTTTTTGAATGACATTGTAACTCTGTGCTATGTATACTCTGTCCTCTTTTCTGGGAGAACTTCTCTGTTTATGTCCTCCTCACTGGTAACTTACTGTAGACTTTAGCTTAAATATCATCTGTTCTGGGAAACTTTTCACAAGGGACTGATATCTAGTTGCTTCTGCACTTCTCCAATCAGAGTTCTTGCCAAACTCTGCCTTGAGTGATCGGCTTTTGGTCTGCTGATAGGAATAAGTGAACACAGTCCTTCCATTCTAGAATGATAACTTGGTTTTCCTCAAAGTATTTTGTTGGTGGTGGTGGTAGTGGTGTTTGTGGGTGGAGCTTGAACTCTGGGCCTGAGTACTGTCACTGAGTGATTTTGCTCAAGGCTAGTGCTCTACCACTTTGGGCTACAGGTCCACTGCCAGTTTTCTGGCAGTTAATTGAAGATAAGAGTCACACAGACTTTCCTGCCTGGACTGGCTTTGAGCTGTGATCCTCAGATCTCAGCCTCTTGAGTAGCTAGGATTATAGGTATGAGCCACCAGTGCCCAGATCCTTATAATATTTTTGTATGTCCTGATAAGGTGGTTCCTCACATAATGAACCATAACAACCACTAGAACTGTGGTATTCTAATTCACCAACTTCCACTTTTCCTTGATAGTTACACATTTACCATAAATTATGTCATTTATGCCATCTGTATTTCCTTCAAATATTTAATGAATCAGTTCTTCAGGAATTAATGCCTGTATATAGTAAAAGAATACACTGTTTTTTTAAAACAATTTAAATTTTATTGGTTTTGTTTACATAAAAAGAAATCAGCAACTTCAGTGGTTGCCACTTTTTAAGTGACCACAGGAAAAAAAGCAAAATATAGAACTATTTTACATGTTTATGTTACAATTTTATAAAATTAGCTACAGTTTACTCGTGTTTTGTTATCACTGGTGTTTTTTTGGCCATATATGCAAGTTGTTAATACTGAAAGGTGGTTGAACACATACCCATTAACAAATAAAGGAGAGATAAGGTTAAAATCACTTAGGATTGTACATTAGGATTTTACTTAACATTCTTGTTAGTATTGCTTTGTCAGTTACTATATTAAACTCTTCTTGGTATTAGAAAATACAAAGTTAGATAGTAGCACCTTTCATTTTGGTTTTAATTATGCAAAGAAAGCATTTGCATTTCTTGCCCCTGTTTACATGTTAAAGTTTTGAACCAAATATTTTCCACATTTTATGTGTATATTATACAAAATAATGAGTTTCCTGTTGATATTTTCCTATATGCATATAAAGTACTTTGATCAGAAGAAGTGCATTAATACTGTGTGCATGCAGGTTAAAAAACTGGCAAGATGATTACAGCTCTTTATGCTGAATGGGGAAGGAAAGGGTATTAGGATGTAAATGAGAAGGTTATTAGGACATAAAAACTTAGGACATAGTAATAAAATTGATCTAAACCTCAACAGGAATAAAAAAAAATATATGCACATGCTGCGAAAACATTAGTGACCTAAAGTTAATTTCAGATTGAATATCTGAAAAGTCTTTTACGCTGATAAGGTTTGAAAAAAAATAGGAAGAACTTAGGAAACAAGAACTGTGGGTGACTTGTGAACAGAATCCATGGGGCATGGGGATTAATTATTGTCCTTTCTTTGTGACACGGTTGCATTTTGGTTTATTGTATATGGTCTCACAAGGTTTGGCAGAAAATAGCATTCCTAGCTGATTTCCAACATGTGGTCTGGCTTACTAAAAGGAAAAAGAAGGGGTGGGTGGGGGGTAGATTCAATTCGGTTATATTTTAAGACAGAGTTGAAACTCTTGGGCCCCTTTTGTTCCTGAAGTCACTCTGAGAACACTGCCCTGGGTTTTGCTGGAACAGAATCAGGACCTTTTGCATGGATGTGACAGGCAATGACGAACACCAGGCTAAGAATGGGAATATGTCCCCATGGATTTCCTCCAACCCCACCTCATTTCCTCTCTCTTCCGTTTCTGTGGTGCATACTTTCACACACTTCTCATCTGGACTTAACCTAAGGCACTTTGTGGAGAAGCTTAAAAAATTAGGCAAAAATGCACAAAGTAAAGTGATCTTTTCTTTCCCCCCTAAAGGGTTCCACTAAAGCAATTTGCCCTTGAATTGATAGAAAAGCACTATATCCAGAACCTCTCTATTGCTTATGTACAAATATAATGTAAAAATTAGTAATCAGCCTTATAGGTAGCTGCTAAATTGACTAATTTGTGTGATTGTAAAAGAGAGAATTTTAACTGCAATATGCTAGAGACCACTTTGCCCACAGCATGGCTCTGCTGCACATGGACACTGAACCAGACAATTCACATTCTGTCCATTATTGGGTCACTGGCATCTCCCTGTCCTAAAAATATGAATGCTGGGGCCTGCCCTTTGTTTTTATCATCTCCATGTAGTGTAGGTGACTATGTATTTACAGACAATACCGAACAAATAGAACTTAAACTATAGCAATGAAGGAATTGTTTAATAATACTGAAAAATACTGTAGGTAGTTGGAAGATCTCAAAAGAGTATGTTGTGTTAGCAACTGCAATCCATCTTTCTCTTTGAGACCTGTGATCCGAGCTAAATGTAGAGTATGATGATTTTCCAAAGACAACCTTGATCTCTTAGACACTTCCTTCCTTTCATAAATGTTTCTAATGTTCCCTAAATCCACCAGCTAACCAGCTTTCACTTTTTGCATCCAATTACAGTCAGACCAAGGGTGTGACATTCTTTTCTTTTTTTTCAAAGTTGTTTAATTAAAAAAAATTGCAACTGAGGAATCAAAACTTCATTTAAAAATTTAGCTTCTCCATGACTGATCTTCCTTTGTCCCGATTCATATAATTTAACAATGAACCTCATTTAAGATAAAGTGGCAGATGAATACACTGGAAGCTACTAAAAGCTATGCTGGAGTGCTAAGTATAATGGAAAACGTTAAGTGCTTTCCCCATGAAGTTTCTCAGTTCTCATGGCCTTTCCACTTTCCCTCTTGTGTTGTAAAGAGCTCATTAGATGTCAAAGCAATCTCCTTTATATTGTCACATGGATTTGTGTGAACATACAGCTTTGTGTTTTGTTTTGGAAATGGATTTGTCCCATTTTAATGAGTTCTGTCCAAAATAAAGAGAATGAGATTAAGATTCCCTCTCTCAAGATGAGCTGTACTTATTACTAGAACGGAAGTTGTCATATCCGTGATCATGAGCTTTGAACTTTAAGCAGGACTGCTTTTCCTCCAAGGACTGTTTTTCTTCAAATGACTGGCACCAGCAGCACAAGCATGACTGTACAAAACAAAGTAATGTGTCACATGCTGACATCTGTCACACCGACACCCTTCCTCCTGCTCTTGGAGCTCTGACTTTCATGCAGAATTGGAAGTTATGGGGCCCTTTCTTCTCCAGGCTCTCTAGTTTTTCCCCTTAAAAAGACTTTTTTTCACTAGAAAAATACCAAAAGAGAAAATATCTATATAATTAAAATTAATCACCAAGAAGACACTACTCTTTTTGGTATTAACTCTTGGTGACTTTGTTGATCTTATGATGTGATAAATGTAGAATGTAAAACTTTCTTCCTTGGAAACAGAAATATAATCTCATGCATGACTGTATTTGTCCATGTATATATATATATAATTTATTTCAATGGGATACCATTATACGTATACTGTATAACTTGTTTTACCTTATGTGATAGTACTATAAGTATCTTTTAATCATAGTATTATAATAGCCCTTTTCAATATGCACAAAAGGAATATAGAACATTTAAGAGTTTGCATTTAATTTTTCCTTTAAAGTTTTTTTTTTAAATCCCAAAATTTGTTAACCATCTGTTTTATGAAAATCTACGTGTGAGAAAATAGGTTTGTTGTTTTCAGTTTTTAAAATAAGGGAGTTGATCTTATAAGTGTTCTTTACTTCCCTAAAAGAATGAGTTGTCATTACCTGACTTTTGAAATGGTAACCCCTCTGTACAATACCTTAATAATAACAAAAGTATATTTTAAAAAAATCTGACTTATGGCCAGGTATTGGTAAATACCCTTGTAATCCTAGCTATGCAGGAGGCTGAAATCTGAGGATTGTGGTTCCAAGCCAACCTGAGGAAGAAAGCCTGTGAAACTTTTATCTTGAATTAACCACTAAAAAAGCTAGAAATAGAGCAGTGGCTCAAGTGGCAGAATTCTATGCATGAGCAAAAAGAGCTCAGGGACAGTGCCCAGGCCCTGAATTCAAGCCCCAGGACTGGTACAAATCAATCAATCAATTAATTAATTAAAAATGGGAGTTATGAATGAGCAAAGAATCTTATAGACTGTTGTAGTGTAACTAGGAAAGCAAGTCTTTGTATTTTCAATGATAAAAGATTAGAGACAATGACTCATTCCGATGTAAGGAGAAGGTATAGTTTATTTTGAATTGGATTGTTAAACAAAATAATGAATGTATAAATGGAAGTTAAAGTGTAGAGCTGAATGAGTACTAATTAAACATCTTACACATGGAACAGCAGCTCTGCTGCACATAGAAAGTGGAAAAGAAGAGATAGAACCTGATTCTAAATTTTAATTTGATTTGCTATGTCTTTTTGTTTCCTACTGCTACCCCTAACTTCTGCCCAAGTGGTGGGGACAAAGCCCAGGGCCTTGTGCAAATGCTATACACTGAACTAACTAGCTCCAGTCCTTTGACATATTGTTCTTTAGTCTGTGTGAAAAAGGGAGTCACATTTCTGATACAAATTGTGACTGACATCTGCCAAGTACAGAGGAACAATGCCTTTAATCATGTTTACAGTTTTTACCTTATTTATGTGATACCTGTCACAATGCTTTCTTTTATTTTTCAGTACTGAGACTTGAATTCAGAACTTGTGCAAGCCTTTCCCATTCCTGTTGCTTTTAGTTTGTTTTTCAGATAGGTTCTGGCACTTTTTCCTTGGCTAGTTTTGATTCTCCTCCCTCTGCCTTCTAAGGAACTAAAATTATAGGCATGATCCTGAACAATTTTATGAGTACAACTGATTGGCAAAAGCTGTAGGGAGTGTCTGGCTAGCACTGATAGACAAATATCATCTGTAATGATTTTTAAGCAGAAGTCATACTTTAAAATAATCATCCATGATATAGTACAAAAGAACACTAAACAATTATCTGAATCTCTCCAGCTAGAAACACTAATAATTTTCAAGGGTTAAATTTTACATCATACTACAAAAAACTTCTGTTTTAGAATAGTCTCTTACCTTAAAACAGTTTTTGAACCTTTTGCTCACCAAGTACAGAGCAATTGGATTAATGCAGGAATTCAAGGAGGCCATATTGATGCCAATATAATCCAATACCAACAAAAAGCTGCCGAAACCAAAATGAACAAATAAATAGCCAACAAAAACAAAGTATCTGTCAAAAAATAATCCACATTGAGTGGAATATTGCACATTTTTGTAGTCTTGTGAAGAAAAGAATTAGCCAGTGATTCTGAGGGTTTTTTTTAATTTGCTTTTAGTGATGACCTCTGTGTCTGTTTGTCTCTAGCATTCTGTCTCTGTCTTCTCCACTGCCTTCCCCCATCCCCTCCTACCTTGTAAAGTAAAATTTCATTTGAAACTACTAAGGCTGGATGAAAAGAAAGGATTGACAAGTGCCAGGGAGAATCAGATCTGATATGGTCAATCTTGCCACTCCCCCATCGATGTGACAACTCTGCCTCCCTGTTCCCAGAGTTCTCTTAGGCCCCTTATTTCTCCTATGACACAGGAGTGAAAAGCAAAACTGGAAGTCTTAATTGCTCCCAAAGATTAGAAAAGTGGCACTCTCTCTCTGCCCATGAAAAGGATCGATGGAAACACTTCTGAATGGCACCTAATTACAGGATGATTTCTGTTATACCTTTCTTACCTTAGAAGTTCGCATCTGGTGGGATCACTCTGATCATAAAGTGTGAGCTTCAAAATCCTGCTCAGATGAAGGGGAAGCCAACAGAGAGCAAATACCAGGACCAGGCAAAACACTGTTTTGGCCACTTCTCGCCTCTGAAATAAAACCACAACCAAACCCTTAAAAGTGATTTCTTCATATTCAAAAGTTCTTTCCAAACAGAATACTTAGTATGATTTACAAAATCCAGTGACATTTGAAAAGACTCAGGATGCTCAGCTTTCAAGTGAAGAGTGAGTGTTAATTAGAACTAAAATGAATAGAGTCATCTCTTAAAAGTGACAGTTCTCTTTAGAACTTTTTAGAATGTATAGAATATCTCTAATTAGACAAACCAGAAGTAAGAAAAAATGGAAATATGCTTTGGTGTATGATTTAGCTTCGATATCATCATAATTTTTCTCAGTATTGTAATTACAGCCTTGGGCTGCTCATCTCGCATCTTCTTACCTGCTTTAAGTGATCATTTAATGCAATTTGCATGCCACTTTTCTTTCTCAACATTTCACATGTCATCAGGGTATAAAAAAATGCAGTGATGGCCAATGGCAAGCAGAAATAGAAACTGAATAGCCACCAATCTTTAGCTTTCTTGTAAAACTAGGGAGAAGAGAGAATTTCATGGTTAATACTTAAATTATATATATATATATATATTAATGTTTTTCTGGTATTTGGAATTGAACTCAGGTCCTTTTACCTGCTAGCCAAATGTTCTCCCACTTGAATCATGCTATACAAAATGTTAAACTTTAGAAAAAATATTCATCAAGGATTAATTTGCTTCTAATATGAATTTATTTTATAAATATTATATAGAACTTTTCAGCCTACATCTGCTGAACAAATAATTAAAGAGATGCATTAAATGAAACTTTCCAAAACATGTTTCAGTTATCTGGGAAAGTATAGCAACTATGTCCAATATATTGGGTAAAATTTAATATTTAATATTTCTACTTCACATAAGCAGGCTATCATTAGAGGATTATTTGTGCTTAATATCTTACCTGAAAATGTAAAGATATTCTAATACTTAGGTGAAATTTTCACTTTTTATTAAGTGTGTTTAATGGTCAGTTACAAAAAGGTATATTAACAATTAAGATCAGTGTTATATAAATCTAAGTCAATTAAAAGCTATCAAATATTCATGAGCCCTTGTCTTTTCTCTTATTCTTTTTCTATTCTTCCACTTTTTTCTAAACGTGTTGTTTTATCTGTATCTGTGCCTATGTGGCATACCCTGTCTTTTTACTAGTAAGGCAACAATATCATTTTCAAGTTCATGCTAATTTCCTTCATTATGCTCTTACTTCCTGGGATATACTCAATTCACAAAGTTTTATACAGTCATCTTATAAATAATGGAAAATAGAAATTAATCCCTGGTAATAGTTAGACCAACCCCTTTTGCATTAACGTCTTTCCACCTATTCTGTTGAAAATATCTTTTTATATTTAGTGTTTTTGTTTGGAGTCTAATATCATTATTCCTTTCTTATTTCCTAATCAAAAAATTATTTTTTTCCTTGTGCTGGGGCTTGAATTTGGGTTGAGTGCTGTCCCTGAGCTTTTCTGTTCAAGGTCAGTTCTGTACCACTTAAGCAAAGCTCCACTTTTGGCTTTTTTGGTAGTTAATTAGAGGTAAAAATCTCACAGACTTTCCTGCCTGGGCTGGCTTCAAACCACGATCTTGGCCTTCTGAGTAGATAGGATTATAGGCATGAGCCACTGGCACACGGCTCAACCATTATTTAATAAATGGCCAACATTTTTTTTAATGTCAAGGCAGTTTTCCTTTTGCCATCAGAGCAATAGATGGTCCAGCAGAATACACTCATACCAGGTTTTGAATCATCCTTGCCTTTTGTGACTGTTGAGCTGTCTTACACAGATTGTAGAGCAGTAAAAAATTCTGAATGGTCTTTGAGTACAAAAATTATAATTTTTACATCAGTTCTCATGTGAACTTGATTTATCTTTGTTCGTAAGATCCAGGGTTCTCAGGGAATGCTCTGGATTCTTGCAAGTTGGGTCATTGGGATCTATTCTCTTAATTTCTGCCAGTGATAAACTCATAAACGAACAGCTTCCTAAGGGAGAGGGACTAGAAAAAAGTAGCTAATATTCAGGAAGAAATATCAGCAAAAGAAAGGAAATAAAAGGAAAATCTACCTGCATGAAGGCTGTTTGCTGTACAGGATGCAACATACAAATATGTAGATGTCTTCCTTGGTAGTCCATGGAAATCATGTCAAAAGCTATAGCTTCGGGGACAGCCAGAACTATGGAGGCCACCCAAATTAAAGCAATTTCTACTGCCGTCCATTTTGGAACACCAATTCCTTTAATGCGACTCCACGACGCAACGGCTCGATATCTGAAGATGAAAATAGAACTGTTTTCCAAGCTGGGAGAGCTTGGTTTTATTGAATTTACGTAGTTTATTTCCTAAACAAATAGTAGCAACAGCAGTATAATGCTTAGGATCTTTTGTGACTAAAAAAAAAAAAAAAAAACCTCTCACCTGTCAATACTTAGCGCACATAGACTCAGCACAGTGATTCCCACAGAGGCCTTCTGTATGAAAGGCACCAGCTTACACATCTCAACTCCAAATGGCCAGTCCTTTGCAAGGAGCTGCATAGAGGACACATGAAACTCTGTTAGAGAGCCTTACAAAGGCCCACTCTGAATGGCATTACTACGATAACACATTACTTACAGAGTAATTAATATGTATGGTTCTTACTCTCGTAGACAAGTCCTTTGTAAAGCACCAGTGTTTAATATGTACAACAAGAGAAAAGGTTGGGAATAATAAAGTCATGGCTAGTTATTGAGAATTCATCATGCTATATAATACGTGTAGTTGGGATTCCTCTGGACACAGTGGGAAGCTATACACTATCATACAGACTCAAAGCTCAGGTCAAGGACAAACCAAAGTGTAGACTAGTTTAAAATAGATGATAAATATTTCTTAGTGGAAGAGACTAGAGTATTCCTATGGAGCAGTACTTTATGGAGAACAACTTATTCTTTGGTGTAACCAATTTCTTTAATTGGATAGTAATTCAGAGTAACCACATTGCTCTGTGAGCACATTAGTACCTTCCTGCTACACTGTGGCTAACTCTAGGTCTTTCTCTATCTTGGAAGGTTCTTTAATTAAAAATAAATCTTGGCTAAGTCTCTTATTTCTTTCTGGTTGCTCAAGTCTCTTTCCAATATAACCTACTTTGACCACGCTGTTAAATACAGTAGTAATAGTCAGATCTTTCCATTTCCCTGATCTTATCCCACTTCGTCTTTTATCTGTTCTAGTTCCTGGACTTGAACTCAGGACCTAGATGCTGTCCTTGAGCTTTCTTGCTCATGGCTAGTACCATACCACTTGAGCAATTGCTCTATTTCTAGCTTTTTGGTGAATCTCTAATCACCCAGACTCACTTCTATTTTTTCAATAGCAATTGCCACTTCCTATTGCATAGAACACTTACTTGGTTGCTTGTTTTTTACTGTCTCCCTTCTTAGACAGAATATCAATTCTTCAATTGCCTAGGATAATGTCTGACACAAAGTAAATAAAAGCTTAAGAAACATATGCTATCTATCTATATATCAGTAATACAATGAACCTATTCTTGATATTAAATATATGTGATTTCTCTTTATCTGACTATAGACTAATGACACTACCCATCATTAAATGTGGTTATTTTCTTTTCTTTGGACAAATTGTCACTAATGACTTATGGTAGATGAACCACTCTAAGTAAACATGTGGATGTAATGCTCTTGAGGTTTTAAGCACAAAGAAAATTATTTTAAGTCTTTGGGTTGAAAAATTATTTTAGAAATAACTTCTAAAGTGAAAACTATTTTGAAACATAATTGGACATGTCTGACCTTTAACTAGGCTAACATATGTGCCTCATTATGAATAGAATTTCATTTCTAAACTAAATGTGACAAATTACACAGATATATAAAACCAATGCTGGAAGACTTAAGATATATGTGTTTAAGGTAGAGCTCTGACCTACAGAGCAAGGTAAAGTTAACACAGCAGTGAAGAGACAGCTCTAACCAAAGTCATTGGATTCGTGAAGAGAATGAGGAGTGATGGATCTGGAATAATTAATCCCCATTTGAAAGGAGCATCTGCCAAGAAACATCATGCTAGGAACCCCATTTATATATATATATATGTATATATATATATATATATATATATTATATATATACATATACATATATATACACACATATATATATATGTATGTGTGTATACATACATATGTATATATGTCTCTTGAATTTTCATAAGGGACCAGAGGTAGAATTTTTATATGACATCTGACAATTTATAAAAGCTACTGGCTAATTCATATTTTAAAAAGATAATTACATACTGTTGTATTAACCAATCTTGTGACTTCTGGATTAATCAATTGAATTAAACCCTTAACTCTCATTTGTTAGTTGATTCAGTAAGTATTGAGTATTCAAACTTGCCAAGAACTGTTTTGTATACAGGATGCATGAAAAACAACTATTGAACATGTAAACCACCCTGCTCTCGTGGATCGTAGAGTCTGGTTAGGGAGACATAAAAAGCTACCAATATTAGATATGTTGCCAAATAGAAACAATCCTCTCAAGATGGTGATGGTAGGATTTGGTGCTTTCTTTCTTTCTTTCTTTCTTTTTTTTTAAAGATTAAGTAGTTGTGCAAAGAGATTACAAGAGGTGCTTTCTTGATAGACTTCTCAACAAGATCCCTTGGAAGATATAAAAACTTAACTAAAACAAGGGATTATACCATACAAAGAGAATCTGCCAAGTGCTAGACATCAACTCAAGCCTGATGAACTGCAGAGACAGCAAGAAGGCTTCAAGGCTGGAACTTAGTAGCCTAGCCAAGTAGAGAGGCGATGGAGTTATAGAGGTAATGTGAATGCTTTTTTTTTTTTTTAAGGAAAATTTACTGCAGAGTTTGAGTGGGAAAAGGGCATGATATTGTTTATCATTGTTAAAAATGTCATTCTGGATGCTCAGTTTAGAATAGAATATGTGGTCAAGACGTAAGCACTGGAAAGAACTGGTTGTAGGCTAGGACCATGTGATGCCCTTGTAACTGAGCCTTCATGGGTAAATTAATGAAATGTTTTTCTTGTAAGAAGCCTGTCCCAGTGTCTCTCCCTAGTTCAAGCTATAAAACCAAGACAGAGCACATTCTTTCTTTTCTCTGGTCAAGCTGACCAGATGGTAAGCATGTTCTCTCCCTCCCATTCCTATGATTGTAACTATTGTAGCTCTCATTCAAACCTTGCCTTCTTGGTTGCAGAGAAATGAAATAAAGGTATCACAAGATGATTTATAGGACTGAACATCACTTAGTGGCCTAGCAGATGCCACCTGTGTCAAAAATCTCCAAATCTTGGCTTTTATCAACTCGTAAAAGTACTAGTTGGCCTCTGGGCTCCCCTTTCTGTGAACTTTTCCTGTATATAACCCGCAACCATCCTTGCTGGGGGAAGGTGGATTTGAGGCCTTGATTCTCTCATTCTCCATAGATACCTTTCTCTACTCTCAGCATTAATGTTTGGTATTTTGTTCATATCACGCATCCAAGTTTTGGGATTTGGTAGCCAGGATTGCCTAGGATGGATTTGCACCTTGGACAAGTTGACTACTTTCAGAGTCACTAATATTTGTCCTATTTGTCTTGGAACATCTTCTCTGAGGATATAATTTAAAAAAATGCTTTGAAAGAAATAATTTCTAATTATACATCTATTCAAAGTGATAAAGGGTTACTTTTATAGTGAAAATAACTCAAAAACCATATTGCCTTAGGCACCACCTGGAAATTATATGTTTCATGGAGAACACAATCTGCCAGAAAGGCAGAGCAATAGATGACACTTCTAAAGAACTGTGACAGAAATCAGTTTGACATGGGATAAGGGGGTTACTTTTTCTTTGCTTTGGGTAAGAAGGGAATGGAGGAACAGGCTCCAATTCCATCATATGGATTAATGTATGGAGATCATTCCAGGTACCTCCCACCAGAGGGAGACCTGACTGTAGAAAGAGAAATCTCAGTTACTAGTTGTTTGGAAATGAGGTTCCCCCTTCCTCCCCCCCTCCCAAATATCATATAGTTCCCACAAACATTCCTCTTTATCACTTTAAGGCTAGAGACTGAGTCCTTATATTCTGGAAAAAACAAAACAAAGCAAAACAAGGGACTGAGGAGTAACTTGGTATAAAGTGGAATAGACCTTGTAATCTGGATACCCACTGGGCTGTTAACCTTTCAGGGATTAATGCTTGAATATATCACACCCAAGTCAAGCTTGACCTGCTAGAGTCTGACTCCAAAGCAACCAAAGAAGTTGGTGGACAACCAGTATGATCACAACTTAAATTACTCTCCAAAGAAGCTGCTTCTAAAGATCAATAGCTAAGACTATATGTGATTTCAGTTGCATCGTTATTAACACAGTTATTCATCCCTAGCTACATTTTTGTCATTTCCCTGAAAACTAACCACTATAATTCCATTTAAATTATTTCTTTCTTGATTCTTGTATTTGTATAGAAAGACAATTGTATGACCCAGATTTCCCTGGCTAGAGCAGAAAAGCACTGATAATAGGATTTGTCATCCAAAACCCCTTATGGTTGATGATCATACCAATCCCTTGGTTTTACCAATAACTAACTCTTTTAGGGTTCCTGTACAATATAATAAAAAAAACTCTCTAGAGTAAATACTGAATAAGGGTAACCATCTTAGAGCTCATGTACACCCACACCTAGAGAGAACTTGTCTACTGGTTATTTGTCCACACTTCTTTAAGTCTTCCACAGAGAAGCTTGAGCTTTGTCCCATACCCTATGGTCATGAATTGTCCTGAGCTTATCAATATAATCACAGTCAAATAGTTATTTGATGATAATTTTCTGCTAAATTCTTTTTTTTGGGGGGTCCAGTCGTGGGGCCTGAACTCTGGGCCTGGGCGCTGTCCCTCAGCTCTTCAGCTCAAGGCTAGCGCTCTACCACTTGAGC